CTGGGAAACATTTTTAAAAATGTTGAGTCCCAGATTCAATCCCAAAGGCTCTGAATTACTTGTTCTGGACTTCAGCCTAGTCATCAAACTTATAACTTCTCCAGGTGACTCTAATTTGTGGTCAAGGTTAAGAACCTCTGCTGTAGATGGAGACCAATTCTGCTTGCTTTGTATCTTCAAAACCTCTTGATAGTTGATTTTCTCAACGGACCCTAAATTGATATACCATTTTCGCTGACTGAAATTTTTCCAAAGTAAAATAACTTCATTAAGCTAGCACTACATATGTTAAAATTAAACTGTCTGACTCCATTTTAGAATGGTGAATATTTAACAAATAAATGTACTCATTCACTCAAAAATTTGTCTAAGCCCTGGGAACTGTACCAGGTACAGGGAATGGAGCCACAAAAAAAACAGAGCTCCTATTCCTCTAGAAGGGACAATTAATGTGGACCTCCCACCCCCGCCAAATGCTATGAAGAAAATAAATGATAAAAATAAACAGAGTAGTAGGAAACTAAGTCAAAATCAAAGAAAACGCCTCTTTGGACATCAGACCTTATATTCCTGAATGATGACTGAAGAACTGAATCAAGCAATGTTCACAGAGAAAGGTGAAGCAAATAGCAAGTGGAAAGTCTGTAAAGTTAGAGCAGTAAGCTAGGTGTGTTCTTAGCAAGAGTGGGAAGGACAGAGTGGGGTAATGTCAGAGGGACAGTGATATGAGATGAGGCGAAAGTAAAGTGTTATGCCCTGAGAACCAGGTAAGGACACTGGTTCATACGCCACATGTGCTGTGACTATAATTAGTATTCAAAAGATTGGGGCTGTGGAGTAAATAGGCTCTAATTTTTATTATAAAGCATTACTCTGCTTTCCATGTGGACTGGATGGTATACTGACAGTTTAGTAGAAACAGCCAGACTATTAGAGGCAAGAGAGGATTGGTGACTTGTACTATTGTCATACCAGTCAAGGTTTTGAGAAATAGACTAAGGATAGTTAGTGAAAATCAACTAACAATACTTGCTGATGGGTTGTGTAAAGAGAGGGGGAGGGGAAACAAGGTTTTGGAACTTAACCACCTGCTTAAATGGGGAAACAAAGTTGTCATCAGAGTTCTAGTAGGCCTCACTAAGCTCAGATACCCACATTTATCACAGTGACCAAGTCAACATGGCTGATGTGTATACTGGAGCTCAGGGGAAGCAAGCAGGGCTGCAGAAGTATGTTGAGATAATTAGCTCTTTGTGGAAGTATGCTTCTTTTCCCCTAACGTTTAATACATTGGTCTGTTTTTAAACAAAGGACAGTTATTTCTTTTCCAAAATGATCTGCTTTCTCTAGTAGCTGCAACTGTTACCTTCTAAACCACACCAGCATCTGATGACTTAGAATCTTTACTAGAAAATACGTAGACAAGGAACTGCACTCATAATTTTAGAATGTCCCCAGGATGCATTCATGAAGTAACTGTGAGCTATAGTATGGTACCTGAGGTATTTTAAAGACTATTACTGCAGAAGATGGCTCAGTGTTTAAGAGCACCAGCTACTCTTGTAGAGGACCTGGGTTCAGTTCCCAGAACCAACATGTTGGCTAACAACTGCCTGTAACTCCACTTCTTGGGGATGCAGTTCCCTCTTCTGGTCTATGTGGGCATTGCACAAAATGGTGCACTCACACATAAAAAATGAAATGGGGCCGGAGGGATGACTCAGCAGTTAAGAGCACTGCTACTCTTGCAGAGGGCTGGGGTTTGGTTCCCAGCATCCATATGGTGGTTAACAACCATCTGTAACTCTAGTTCCAGGGACTCTGAGGCCCTCTTCTGATCTCCATGGGCATTGCATGATATGGAGACACTAATACACATGCAGGCAAAACATTCATACACATAAAATAAAAATATTTTAAGAGACTAATATCAAAAGAAGTTTATTAGGACTAAAAGTGAAGGTTTTTTTTTTTTTTAAAGCTATGAGTACATTCCCCTTAAAATGAATACAAATAACTTTAGACTGTAGGGGCAGAGGCTCATGGGACACCAACCTTCTTGAGGATCTACAGGCAATTAATGGTTGGAGGGTAAGGAGAGGCATTTTCTTCAATGTTGCAATCACTGGTAAGTCGATCATATTCCTGTAAACAATCCCTCACCATGTTCCTGTAAACAACTCTAGTTAAATCTTTGTGTCGCCCAAAGAATAAAAGAGTTGTGTTTCTTAGAATAAAGTTCCTGTTAAGTACCACTTTTTGATAAAGGGAGAATTTTAAATTTATTAAAAATAGTCACTAAAACATTTAGTGTGTTTGTAAGTCCTTAAGAACCCAGAGTGGTAGTAGATGTTAAGTTAGTTGTGTGATGAAAGAGAACGCATGTGACTACTGGGAATCTCAGTTTCCTCCATTGTAAAAAGGATGATTCATCTACTCCCAAGATCGTTGTGGTACCAGAAATACTGGATATGCAAGTATTTAGTAAATGATAGAGACATTTGTGAGAGAGGTACAAAAAGGCATGGATTGTAATTCATCTGCTTTTCTTTTTGTGAATGTCATGCACCTGGTATGCACGATCCAAAGGAAAGGTGTAATGACGCTACCACTACGTCACACTACATCACACTATGTCACACTACGGTAGATTCATGCAAGAAGTATTTTAAGCAAAGAACATGATGCTTAAAAGTGTCATTTTTCTTTTCTTTCACTTGTTTATCTGGCATATTTGTCTTTCTTTAGCTGCCAATGTGATGGATTTATTGTTTTCCTCTCCTTCAGGGAGTAAATAGGTTTTTGACTTAGACTAAAAAGTTACCATTGGCTGGTGGAGAAACAAACTAGAAAATCTCAGCGTTTGAGCCACAACTCAACTGTCCTTTAAAATTACAGCATATACAATATGTAACTAGATGAGCAAAATTTATTTATTTAAATTTTTCATTATATATATTCACTGTACACAGTGTGGTCACTTAAGGACATTTTCATGCAAATATGCGAGTATATTCCCCCACGTGCTAACTTCCCCTTTCTCATTCCTCCTCCCTCTCATTAGTCTCCTTTGTTCCCCTAGACAATTTCACTTTTACTTTCCTATCATATATACATGTATGACATTATATAACTATATAAAACCTAGGAACTACATGAGACAAAACATAAAATTTATCTTTCTGAAACTGGATTAATTTGCTTAATGGATTATCTTTAGTTGCATGTAGTTTTCTGCAAATAACATAACTTTGTTTTTCATAATGGTGAAAACCTTTTATTCTGTATACATACCACATTTGTTTACCCAATAACCTGTTATTGGAACTTCGGTTGTTCCATAATTACTGTTCACAGTGCTGCAATAAACACTGATGTGCAGGTATGTCTGTAATGTGTTGGCTCAGAGTCCTTAGATAAATGCCCAAGAGTGGTATAGCTGGGTCACATGGAAGATCTATTTTAGGTTTCTGAGGACTTTACCTACTGATTTCCACAGTGGCTGGACTAATGTACATGACCATCAACAAAGTATATGAGTTTCCTCTTGTCCATGTCCTTGCCAACATTTATTGCTATTTGTTTTCTTAGTGACTGCCATTCCAACTGGAGCAAGCTAGAACCTCAAAGTAGTATTAATTTGCATTTTCTCTCATGGCTAATGGGTTGAGCTTTATTTTTTTCCATGCTTGTACTGGCCATTTGTGTTTAATTTTTTGAGAGCTATTTATTTCATTAGCCTATTTAGAATGGCTGTCTCTTAACTCAATAACCTGTTTTGTTCACTAGGCAGAAGCTTTTGAATTTCAGGTCACATTTGTCAATTGTTAAAATTATTTTCTGAGCAACTGGAATCCTATTCAGAAAGTCTTCCTCCAGGCCTGTACCTTGAAGTGTTTCCCCTGCTTTTCCCTCTGTTTCAGCCCTCCTGGCTTTGTTTTCCTTGAGACAGGATCTCATTATGTAATCCTGGCAGGTCTAGAACTTGCTATTTATATTAGACTGGCCTTGAACTAACAGAGATTTGCCTAATTCAGCCTCTTCAGTAGCATGCTTGGATTAAAGGGTGTGTGCCACCAAGCCAGGTTTCCTCCAGGTTTTTAAAGCTTCTGTTGAAAAATCTGTTACCTTGATGGGCATGGAATTATATGTGACCTGGTATTTCCATTTTGCAGGTTTTAACATACTTTCTTCATTTTGCATAGTTAGTGCTTTATCTGTGATATGCCATGGGTAAGTTCTTGTCCAGTCCTGTTTGGTGTTTATGCCTCTGTACTTGAATGGGAACCTCTTTCTCTTGAAAAACCTAGGCGCCATGAGGCCACCTGATAGGAATGCCTGACAAGAGGTCAAGCATTGAGAAACTAGCTTATCAGAAAAACAGGACGTAGTGGTCAAGCCATCTGCATCTGGCAATCCCCAGGGCTCGATACCAGGAAATCAGGAAATAACATCTGTACCATAAGTCACCCACCCAGAATTTAACAACTTAACTTCCTCATGCTTTATACTCGTTTGAATGGGCCAATAACCATGCTTCTGCTTCTGTACCCCGCTTCTGCTCTATAAAAGTGCCAAAACCCAGCATGGGGGCACGCAAGTCCTCCGAGGAGACTTTGTGCCCACAGGTACCTGTGTACTAAATAAACCTCTTGCTGTTGCAACCCGAAGGCTGACTTGTCCTCAGTGGTTTCACTCTTACAAAAAGCTGGTTGGTCTAGGCTTCAGGTCTCTTTTGATTTTATACTGGAGGGACCAGATGGCTTTAGTCCTGATGCTCAGGAGTTCCCACAGAGGCCCAAGTCGGATGAGGATCAGATGCTCTCAGGCTTTCTCCTAAGGTCTGGATCCCTCTAGGAAAGATGCTGGCCTCAGGACAGTGCAAGAGCGGGACTGACGAGTCTGTGAGCCTTGCCTGTCAGCCTGGGGGACGCTCCAGGGCCTGTGAGATCCACGTCTGTAGAACTTTTTGTTCATCCGTAGGATTTTTTGTGGATCTCGTCTGGACAAGGAACCTCCTTGTCATCTGTTACACCGAGCTGCACATCTGAGTCAGTGTCTGTGTTTCTGTATTACTGTGTATTTGTGTTGGTCGTGACCGAACTCCAATGGTCTGGGGAGCCCGATATTTTGGAGCTCAGCACACATCTGAAGGATACGTGTCCCTGAGGAGCGAAGTGTCAACCTCGCCGTCTGATTTTATATTTTCAGTTTTTCTCCAGAGTCGCGCTAAGCGGTACCTTGTCGCCGGCTGTCTATTTTTGTTGTTTCTGTTGTTTGTCTGCCTCATTGTGATTTTAGAATACCCCAAAATGGGACAACAACTAACCACCCCCCTGAGTTTAACTCTAGATCACTGGAGAGAAGTTAAGAGCCGAGCTCACAATCAATCTGTGGAAATCAAGAAGCACCAATGGATAACCTTTTGTTCCTCCGAGTGGCCCACGTTTAATGTCGGTTGGCCTCGGGATGGGACTTTTGATTCTGATGTTATTTTGCAGGTTAAAGCTAAGATCTTCTCTCCCTCCCTATCACCCCCCTCCGCAGGCTGCTGCGGCGGTTCCAGATGACGTCCAAGCAGAGGGACCGGAGGTCGCTCCCTCTCCCATTGCGGGTCGACTCAGAGAGAGGAGAGGACAGGGAGATTCCTCACACATCCTGCCCCTCCGACTCGCAGGAGGGGAAGGAAACCAGTTTCAGTATTGGCCCTTCTCCGCTTCAGACCTGTATAACTGGAAAACTCATAACCCGTCCTTTTCCCAAGACCTGCAGGCCCTAACAGCCCTGATAGAATCTATCCTCCTTACCCACCAACCCACGTGGGATGATTGCCAACAGCTCCTGCAGGTCCTCCTAACTACGGAGGAAAAGCAGAGAGTCATTCTGGAAGCCCGAAAGCATGTCCCGGGGGCAGACGGGAGACCAACCCAACTGCCAAACGAGATCGAGGCTGCCTTTCCCCTCACCAGACCCTCTTGGGATTTCAACATGGCTGAAGGTAGGGAACACCTACGTCTTTATCGCCAGGTGCTTGTAGCGGGCCTCCAAGGGGCAGGGAGACGCCCCACCAATTTGGCCAAGGTAAGGTCAGTGACACAGGGAGCAGACGAGCCGCCCACTGTGTTTCTAGAAAGACTTAAAGAGGCATATCGGAGGTACACTCCCTTTGATCCAGACAGCCCCGATCAGGAAGTAAGTGTTTCCATGTCTTTCATATGGCAATCAGCTCCTGATATTAGGAGTAAGCTCCAAAGAATGGAGAATTTACAGGGACAAGGTCTTAGGGACCTCTTAAGGGAGGCAGAGAGGATCTTTAACAAAAGAGAAACACCAGAAGAGAAAGAAGAAAGACAAAAAAGAGAGGAAGAAGATAGAGAGGCAGTGAGAGATTGAAAGCGAAATAAAGAATTAAGTAGAATCCTGGCCACAGTAGTGAGAAAAGAAAATGAAGTCAGAATAGAAAGGGGGGGAGATCAAGGGCGTGTCCGGTTAGAAAAAGACCAGTGCGCCTACTGCAAGGAAATAGGACACTGGGTAAAGAACTGCCCCAAGAAAAAGAAAAAACAGCAAGAAGAAAAAGCTGAGATCCTCAACCTCGATTAGGGAGGTCGGGGCCAGGAACCCCCACCTGAGCCCAGGGTAACTCTTCATGTGGGGGGACAGCCAGTCACCTTCATGGTAGACACTGGGGCGCAACATTCCGTCCTCACCCAAACGACTGGCCCGCTTAGTAAAAAGACAATATGGGTAGAAGGGGCTACTGGAGCAAAGCGTTACCGCTGGACTACAGGCCGGAAAGTCCAGCTCGCCTCAGGGACCGTGACTCATACCTTTTTACATGTACCAGACTGTCCCTACCCTTTGTTAGGAAGAGATCTACTAACCAAGCTTGGAGCACACATTTATTTTGAAAGAAAAGGGGCTAGAATCACAGATTCCACAGGAGCACAGATACAGGTACTTACCCTCCAACTAGAAAATGAATACAGATTACATCGTGCCCCCGTTCCTGTCCAGGAGGGCATGGATCGGTGGTTGTCCAAATATCCAGATGCTTGGGAAGAAACAGGAGGAATGGGGCTGGCCATCCATCAGCCGCCCCTAATCATTGAACTGAAGGCCACCGTGGCCTCAGTAGCTGTCAAACAATATCCCATGGCGACCGAGGCTCGCCAAGGAATTAGGCCACATATCAAAAGACTATTAGAACAAGGGATATTAATCCCATGTCAGTCGGCCTGGAACATGCCCCTGCTGCCTGTCAAGAAACCAGGGAGTGGGGACTATAGGCCAGTACAGGACCTGAGAGAGATAAAAAAG